ATAATTATAATTATTGCAACATTTTATTCTTTCAATAAATCATATACATGTCTACTTCAAATAAAGTAGAATCTCAACGTATGAAGCACACAAGGAAATAATCATTGAAGGTTATACTTAGAATGCTTACCCAATTTTGAATATGAATATGCATTGTTTGTATTACTAATGTTGTGATATTACCTGTGAAAATTACATGTGAAATTACATGATGTCAAATACACTGAACTTGAGGATTGAAAGACTGAAGGAAGAAGCTAAAGCTGATCTGGTTGAGAATATCAAGGCTGGTGCCAAATTATGCATCCCTAAAATATATTATTGCAATTTAACTCGTTTTTTGACTACTGGTAATGTTGGAATTTTTATATATTTAATAACACTTTTATTTCTTTTCCTCTGAATTATATATTCATGTCTCATTTTTTGAATGCTAACGCTCAAGATATACATAGAGATATTTGGAGACGCGTGAGCGTCTGTCTTTCAATCTGTGGTCTAACACTATAGACAGAGCTAATTGAGTCTGGTAAAGAGGGCTGTGATGGAAAAAGCAATTCTGCAAATGGATTAGAAATTAGAAAGCTCTGGATCAAAGGATTCTTGTATCATTAAAATGCCAGGGAAAGAATACTGTGGTTTCTTGAGGCAAGTACCCAGGCTAATTTCTTAAGGATTTGCATTTTGGAGTGGATTGACAAGTTAGCTATTTGAGGCTGAGGCTAGCTATCTCTGAATCATTCAAAGAAAAGGACAAAACTTTGGCTGGTAAATCTAAAAACTTGAATTTGATGAACAAATCTGCACAAGATTTTATGCTGTTTGGTTTCCTGCAGTTCTGATGTAAGTCAAGGTACATCTGATCACCAGCAATCAATGATAAGTTGTGGAAATGCCCTAGGAGGTGAAGATTTCTGAAATACACACACACACACACACACACACACACACACACACACACACACACACACACACACACACATCTACACTGCTTGCCATGATCCTAGCACCGTGTTGCATATAGGTATGAAATAAAAATAGTGGAGCATATTCCTTGCTAAATACCATAAATTCTATGAGGTTTGAGACTGAAACAGGTATCTTTGCCTGCTATGGTTAGTAATGTGCTTATTTGTAACATTTAAGAATTCTAATATCTCTTCTCCAGTTGGGTTTCTGAAAACACCTAGAGAGAAGGAATTCAAATTCAAGAAAATAAGACTATAGAGGAAAAATATAAAAAGAGGATGAGAGACAGGGAGATGAATCTATTTTCATAATTATTGCATCATGGCAAGGGGAATTAGAAACACCTCCCTACCAGTCTCACCGGGGACACTGACGAGAATAATTACCTTGGAGGCAGCACTTTCTCATGGTGCAGAGAAAGCAGCCATTCAAGACCATGGCAGCTAGCTTTTGATAATGACAGCCCAAATAGGGCTGCTAGGTTTGGTAAATAAAAATACAGGATGTCTAGTTAAATTTGAATTTCAGATAAACAATGAATAATTTTTTAGTATAAATATGTATGTTCCAAGCAAATATTGAGGTTATCCCTGGATCATTCAAAGGAAATATTATATGGGGTATGTTTATGCTAAAAAATTAATCATTATTTATCTGAAATTCAAATTTAACTGTATGTCCTGTATTTTATCTGGCAGCCCTAAGACCAATACCACTCTTCCAACCCTCTCTCCATCAGAATGAAAGAAAAAAAAGAAAAAGATGAAAGAAAAGAAAGAAAGAAAGAAAGAAAGAAAGAAAGAAAGAAAGAAAGAAAGAAAGAAAGAAAGAAAGAAGAAAGAAAGAAAGAGACTCTTTTGTTCAGTAAGAGGAACACGTTGACTCTACAAAGAAATCTAGGTCTCCATAATTGGAGGGAATATTATTTTATCAATAAAGATTAAGCCTGGGCCAGACCCTGTGGCTCCCACCTGTAATCCTAGCACTCTGGAAGGCTAAGTTTGGAGAATCGTTTAAGGTTAGAAGTTCAAGATCAGCCTGAGTATGAGTGAGACCCTATCTCTACAAAAACCAGAAAAATTATCTGGGCTTGGTGGTGTGTGCCTGCAGTCCCAGATACTTGGGAGACTGAGGCAGGAGGATCACTTGAGCCCAGAGAATTTGAGATTGCAGTGAGCTACAGTGATGCCACTATACTCTAGATTGTGCAACAGAGGGAGTCTGTCTCAAACAACAACAACAACAAAATTAAGCCTGCATACTCTCTGGGAAAAAAAATACATGTGCTTGAAAAAATTAGTCATTTAAAATATTTTAAAAATAAATACACATTTTGACAATTCAAACTATAAAGTTATATATATTAAGACAATTTTAATAATCTATTACTCACTGTTCTCCAATTCTATATCCTTAACGTCACCCATATTCATGTTGATGTGTATTCATGCACATTTTGGCTATGCTCATACATATATGTACTCTCATAGAATTCTCTTTTAATGGGATCATGTTACTTTGCAACCTGAGTAACACACTTACTTTAAGCCCACCTAATAAAAGGAGCTGGAGGGTTGCAGTTCACACTTTTGGCGATGCTGAGTTAGCATCCTCATTCTAACGTTCTCAGCCTTGGCTGCAGATATAACTCCAGTGTCCCTAGGACTCCCATTCCTCCTGGGATCATAATCCTTTAACCCTGTACTATCTCATACCATATCCTCTAGCCACATGTAGCTGCTGAGCATTTGAAATGCGGCTTATCCAAATGAAGATGTGCTGTAAGTGTCCACACCAGCTTTAGAAAATGTAGTTGCAAAATAAAAAATTTAAAATATCTCATGAATAATTTGTATACTGATTGCTTACTGAAATGATACTACTTGGGATATACTGAGTTAGATAAAAATGCGTTATTAGAACTAATGACATCTATATCTTTTTACATTTCTAAAATAAGACTACTAGAAAATTATAAGTTACATATGTGATTTGCATGATATCTCTATTGCAGCACTGCTCAAATCCAAAGGACTCCACATGACATGAGTGCCCCCCGGGAGTACACAGGATGATTCCTGGAGGGTGCAGAAAAAAAAATGGAACCTTTATTCTTATTTACTTTTGCCTTATCAATTTTTAATTTTTATTTTAGTGTCTGTCTCACAATGTACATACTATATTGTTATACTAAGTGTATATAATATGCAGTCAATAAGCATACATTTATTTGTGGATGTATTAAAAACATTTTTCCTGATAGAGGCGTGCCATAGAAATGAAAACATAGGGTGGCCATGCTTTGCAGGGGCTAGTGAGGATTTTTCTTCCTATGTTTCTTCTATTTGTATGGTTCCCCTTTCACTTCTTTGTGCTGACTTCATTCATTTTCTCTCCTGAATTATGTCCAAAGACTTCCCGGGGAGGAGAAACGGAGCTATAAGCTTTGGCTTATTGTCTTCTGGGTCTTAGGGATCGCTGTCCTTGCTCCTGAGAGGCCCTCGACCTCCCCTCTGGCAAGGCTGGGCTGCCTCTGGCCTTCCCGGGTGTCTTCCTCCCAGAGAGCCAAGTTCCCGCCTGCAGCAGCCCCTTCTCCCTCAGGCTCCCCTCCAGCACGGCCTGCATCACCTCTGGGCTGCAGGTTTTTGCTACTTTGGCCGGGAAGAGAGGTAAGGCAGAAGCGAGATGAGGGGTAGACTGACTCCAGGGGCTCGGCCCATGGGATGATTCTCTCTCAAGTTGATTCTCATTGAACGGAAACTGACACTGTCTCCACCTAGATCATTTGTATTAGAAAGGTGTATGGGAGTTCGTTAACACTGTAACACCTTCTCCCAAAGAACTTCTGTTCCATCGTTTCTTTTGAAGGTAGCATGTTGTGGCAGCAATGAGAAATATGGGATGAATGTGTGAGGGGTACACAGTTGCACCAGGGAGGTGACAGGACCAGGCTTTTTTAAGGGGCTTGCACCCTACCCACCAAGGGCTCAGGTCCTGATGCACACATGCACACACATGCACATGCACACACACGTGTATGCACATGTGTTCACATTGCTTACCCTGCCCCGGGCTTATTCCTCCTAAAATTGAATCCTGACTTTGCTTCTGATAACTCACATCCCTCTTTCCCACCCTGCACTCGCTCAATCTCTCACCCTTTGCTCAGAAAACGTTTACTGCCCGAGGGCCTGTGACCACATTGCTGGCGTTCTGGGTGTGGTGTTTTGGGTTGAATCTTATTGAAATTACCAATATTGGATGGTTTCTGGCCTGCAAAATGGCTGTTCCTTATAATATGGTTCAGCTTAATATTATTCATGCATATACATTTATATTTTAGGGTTCACAGCATTGTAACAGAGTTGTCAAAAACACAAATTGTGACACTCGACTTACAATTTATTAGTTTTGAAAACTAAAGTTTTAACTCAAGTTAAACTTACTTAACTCATCTGAACCTCATTTTCCTCATGTAAAAATGGCAATAATAATAGTAGGCTCTACTTCATGGAGTTGTTGTGAGATTCAAAGACTTAGTCTTTATAAAGTGCTTAACATATATTGCCCAGCACATAGTAAGTGCTCGGTAAGTGTTAGCTGCTATTACCATTTCTGCTGGGAGGTATTGGCGACTGTCATCTACTACAGAAGTCCATGCACAGATACTTCTGTTTTGAAAACTATGAAATAGACTTGCTCCATGAAGAGAAAACCTCCCAGCCATCAAAACCACCACCATATCGATAGGGAAAACTGAATACTTCATCTAAACCATCCAAATACAATAAAAGTTCTTAAAAGAAAGCAGTTAGGAACTTCAGGGTTTGATTTTCACACAGAGAAGAACAAGATGGCAGCCGGAAGGACCCAGAAGGCAGGCGGTTGCAGGGCGGCGGCGGGTGGCCCTGCTGGCTGGGTCTCACTCTGGGCAGGTGTCAGAGCCTAGAGACTTGCTTGTTTATTCTGAACGAGAGCCAAGGGCTGAGTGCCCTTGTGGGGAGCTCACGTTGAGTTTCATGTTTGTGCAGGCAGGGCTTGGAGGGCAGTGTGGCCACAAGGACTGATGGACACACAGATAGATGCGTCTGGATTTATGACGGAGCAGCTGACCAGCACCGGCTTGCTAGTGAGGACACATTCAGTTTAACAGAAGCTGCTGGTATCCGAAGCCGGAAGTCACAGAAGTCATTGATGCCATTAACAATCTTCCTGCAGGAGGTGCACTGTGCCCGGGCCGTGCCCAGACAGCTGAGGTTCCAGGTGCGGGCTCCAGGAGCACGCTGAGCCCGTCTCCACGGACAAGCTGGAGGCCAAGACCCCCTTCCCTCGTCGTCACGGGAGGCCACCACACTCGGCCTGGTCAGCTACTCCAGCAACCAAGGGGCTTGTTCACCAGAGAGCGTGAAACAAAGGAAGGTCAGACAAGTAGGTGTTGGACTAGATGGCTGGCCAGTGCCGAACGGAGCGATAAGGCCAGGGAGAGACTTGCAAAACCTTGGGTGTGGGGTGGGGTGGTGGGGTGGGGTGGGGTGGGGTGGGGTGGGAGGGTGGCTTTTAATATTAGTGTGGCTCGGCTGTCCTCTCACCCGCTGGGCCTCGGTTGCACCACCTGAGGAATGACAATGAAAATCTGACTCCTGGGCTGTTGTGAGATTGAAAGCAGGTCCTGACTGTGCCTTGCCCAGCGCACCTTAGCTCGTGTTCCTGCTCTCTGTGTGCATAATAGAAAGTCACTCCAGGAAAGAGCCAACAATTCTGGCCTCGACAGGCACACGCAGCCACCCCCCTCCCCTGCCTTGTGAAACAGCACCTCCCTTCTCCCTCCCTCCCTCCCTCCCTCTGTCCTTTCTTCCTGGATTTTCCCCAGAAGGCCCCAGGGCTCCCAGGCCAACTGCCAAACCGCAGGACTCTGCGACTGGCTTTTCAGGACCCCCTCCCCTTCACCCCCTGCAACCGCAGCTCTGCACGGCAGCCCTGCCCTGGGCTCCTCCCAGCACGGCCAGGCCCAGCCGCCCCAGCGCTGTGCCAGCGCTCGCAGGGGATTCATCTGAAACCACCACTGACAATCGACAATCTGTGTTTATTCGGGGCGTGCAGAGGAGCCGAGGGTTATGAAAGGAGCTGCTGCGTTCCAGAACTCTCCACGATTCCCATCAGGCTGCGTCAATCGGGCCCTCTACCTGGAAGGAGAGCTAGGCTTTCGCTGTCCAATCCCCCTGAAAGGACCACACTGGCTGCAGTCTGAAATCCCTCTTCTCACCCACTGACAGTGCTACCCAAACCTGTGCCTTATCAAAGACAAGGTCTATTAAAGAAATGATGATGAGAATTGAGAATACCAAATCTTGTGTATTTATGGTTGGAGAGAGAGAGAGAGAGAGAGAGAGAGAGAGAGAGAGAGAGAGAGAAAGGGAGAGAAAGACTCCTTTATTTTACAATGTTTAATATTTCCAGTTTTTATTGAAATATAACATATATGGAAAAGTACACACATTGTAAATAGATAGTTGGGAGTGGATGGCAGGGGAAAATTAAGGCTAGAACTGAGTTTCAATCTCTTTCGCTAGACCGTGAAGCCTCTTATAGTACAAGAATTGAGAGCATTCCTTAGGAACCTTTTCAGTGTATTTATTACAATGTGGGGCAAGCTGGAGCCGGTTTGCACCAGCTCAGAAGAGCCCGTTTTCCCCATCCCTTCCCAATTCCACATTCCATGACCTTACATTGGAACTTGAAATTAGGATTGGTGGGAGAATTTACACCACAGAAAGCAGTAAATGATAAATATTATTAAATTAGTAACCCCCCTTCCTCCCAGGGACAGTTTTAAACATTTACCAACAAACCACTGCTTACAACTCTCCTAAAATGTGTGAACAAAATTTGGGTAACTTTCTGGTCATCTGCAGTTTAATCACTCCCTGCCCCCTTTCTCAAAAAACTCCATTTCCCGTTACGCCGCCCAGAGAGTGCGCAGCCTCTGCTGTCTTCCTTCTGGAAATCCTCACGCGTTTGACAACTGCTGCACCCCAGCGTCTTCTCCCCTTTTCTGCTTTCTGTTAAGTGACTGCTGCTCTTGAGTGTGCTCTAAGCGATTCCCGGAGAGATGTCCAGGTGGGAGACAAGCAAACCCCAGCACTTCCTTGAGAGAAACCTGTGCTCTGTGGCTGACAGGGAGGCCTCCAAGCGCCAGCAGGAGCCCCTGGATTGCAGACAGCGCCCGGCTGTCCCCTCTGTCAGCTGACTTCCCCTCACCCTGTGCCTTTCTCAGTTGATTGAGTGTCCAACCTGAGTTTCCAACCTGACCGCAGACTGCCCTCCCGACAGAGGAGGCTGGGGCTGCAAAAGTTTCACCTGGGGCTGCCAAAGTTTCACCTGGGGCTGCCAAAGTTTCACCTGGGGCTGCAAAAGTTTCACCCGGGGCTGCAAAAGTTAAGGAGAAAAAAAGCACAGCCCCTTCCCTTCCCTGGCCCTCAGTCCTGTCTCTCTGCATGGGGCAGCATGGCTCAAATGATGTGCATGTCCCCTCTGACTCGGTGACCGGCCTGTCCCCACCCAGCGCTCCTTTCTGCCCCATGGCTGCACAGGGAACTCCATTTCTCACCCAGATGGGAGGGGGGTGGGGCAAAACACTGGAGGAATCTTTCAAAGACCCTCCACCTGACCCCTGTCTGAACAAATAATTAATCTCTTGTCAAAGCAGCCCGCTGATGGGTCCAGGCTGTGCCTGTGGATTTATGAGGTGACGTCAGTTTGGAGACCGGGACGCAGGGCCTGAGCTGTGTTTTACACACTCCTCAATTGTTTTAACGGGCCTGCTCCTGAAGGACGCCAAGTCTCTCCCCAGCTCAGCTTTATTAAAATGGCAAAGATAGAGAGGAGTGCTTTTCCAGAGAATCAGCTCACTTGGACTCTGCTCCCTCCCCCTGCCCTGTCTAGTGGAGAGCGCTCCCAGGGGGGAGGAAATGAAGAACTGCAAAGTACTTGCAGGTACATGCTTAATGCCTTAAACTCCTGCATTGTGTTAACAGCTATTCATGGGCTGGGCTTTAAAGAAATAGATGGATTCTCAATCTGACCAATTTAAATAATCCTTAAGAGAGAGCTAAGGAGGTAGATTTATGTCCTTAGTAACTAAATGACACATCAGAGTTTAGCCTGGAGGCTGGGTCTTTGCACTCAGAGTATTGCAGCTCCTTGAGAGGATCCAGATAAAACTGGGTTTAAAAAATGTGTGTGGGGGCGAAGGGGGAGGAAAAGGGTTAGAAGTCAGAGAGAAAGAAAGGAGGGGTGGAAGTGAGCAAGAGGGCACAGAGGCAAAGCTTTTGTCCTAGAGACAAAGGTAGAGGGAGAGAGGAGAAGAAAATATACTTCTACTGTCTGTCTATGTATGACGTGTCTACACACACACACATACAGAGGATTCACACATACTTATGTAGTCTCTCTGTTTATAGGCTGTACATACACTGGTGTATTTCCAAGACTAAAGAAATATAAAGACAGAGACTTACTTATATTTCGAATTCCAGAAACATGTCTTAATTATTGAGATGAAGACCTCAGAGACCAGAAATATCTCATTTATGGAAAAAAATAAAACATAGCATGATTTTTGAGAGACGGTGATGGTAAAGAAATGATTTCAGGGAAAGGGAGAGGCTTTAGCTGAGAAGGAAGTGGGAGAAAGAAAAGGCCCTTAGGGAACGTGTATTCTCTGTGTGCCACGTGTTTGAGTGCACACGCATTGGACAATCTGCACGGAAGCCGTGGCCCACTAGGGAATGGGGAAATCGGGGGAAATGATCTGAAACATTATGCCCTGACCCCAACGACCCCCTTATATGTATATCAGGACCACAGAAGGCTGGTCCACCCAGCAACATTTAATGAGCAAAACACGTGACTCAATCTAACCAGCTCTATTTAGGCCAAATTGAATTTGAATTCAATCATTTTTGACTCTAAGACCCAACTCTTTCTGCTATTTCACATTCTGTGGCAGTTACTATGTAGTCAAAACCAGGCATGACAGATGAAAAGGGGCTCCAGGGCTGGGAGCCACAAAAGCTGTGAGGACCATTTGGATGAGACTGAGTCGTCTCACCGATGGCAGGGAGGATTCCCCTGGTGGCCCGGCCAGGGGCTTGGCTCCCCTCTCTGTCCCCACCCATGGCTCCTCGGGCCCTCTCTGGAGCTTCCCGTGAGGCCCAGGAGGACAATCCTCCAACACAGAGAAGGACCAGCCTGTGTGCAGTCCTAGAGAGCAGAGGCGATGACTGCCTCTTGTGATACCTACCACTCTGACAGTGTCTGGCCCAGGGAAGACTTCAAGAAGCCATTTACAGAATTAAATGTCCCCACTCTGTGGACTATGGAGCAAGATAAGCCTGCCTTCTAGAAGTTTGTAACCCAAATGAAATTGGATTTATACTCAGGCAGAGAGGCAACTAAATGTAGCATGTAATGGATGTGTTTTATAGATTTTACCCTAAGATCTAGTCTTAGGATGGATGAAAAGATGTGGGGCTAATGGCATCCTACAGATAACGGAGACTTCACCATGACAGGGCAGGGAGGTGCACCCTGACCCATCAGGTCCTTTAGAACTAACTGAAATAGAGGGTCAGGATCAGCTAGACTTTGAAAGTATACCAAATGCAAAGAAATGTGATAGATCAAATCAGATTTTGTCTGTTTAGCACAAAGGCTACATCAACATAGACTTAAGGAAGTCCCTTGGAAGCAAAGTTTCACAAGGTGTTTGGTTGTGTTCTTGGTCTAAGATCTAGATTTTTTCTTCAACCACCCTCCTCCACTCGCCCCAGGAGTGGGGTTACAAGGGAAAGCACAGTGAAGACCTTCAAGGAACTTATCATCCAGTGTGAAGACAGATACACATGCAGTATCTTTGTCTTGTTTTGGACTCCACATAGAAATGAGAGTGTGCAGTATTTGTCTTTCTGTGTCTGGCTTATTTCACTTAACATAATGTCCTCCAGTTTCATCCATGTTGCTGCAAATGACAGGATATTCTTCTTTTTCAAGGCTGAATAGTATTCCATTGTGTACAGACCACATAGTCTTTACCTATTCATCCGTTGATGGACACTTAGGTTGATTCCATATCCTTGGCTATTGTGAATAATGATGCAATGAACATGGGAGTGCAGATATCTCTTTGACATACTGACCTCATTTCCTGTGGATATATACCCAGTAGAGGGATTGCTGGATCATATTGTAATTCTATTTTTAATTTATGGAGAAGCCTTCATACCGTTTTCCATAATGACAGTACTAAGTTAGGTAACACCCCTTTAGAATGAATGTTCATGTTCCTTCTTTGCAAGAGACCAATAGTTTCTAGTCTTGTTGTCAAGGTGGTGGCCAAACTGTCATCTGATAATCCCTTAGCACAGTAC